ATTTAATACACATTGCACCATCCATTCTCCAGTCAGTCTGCGCTGATTCTCGGTCGAATTCTATGGTGAACAAGGATCGTTGAAACTGCTGAAATTTACCGTCGCGCACTCCTGCGTGGTGTTTTGATTGTTCGTTTGCATAGATAGTGTTTTCGTTAAGTTTAAGAAACTGAAAATTGAATTATAATTCCTCACGTGCTTGGCAGTGAAACATGTTAACATTGAGCAAATAGTGGAAAAATCAGCTGCTCAGGAATAAAAAGAGTGCTTGTGGTAGAATTTTACACTCATCAAAACATTGTCGTCACCCTTTCAATATATATAAACGCCGGCAAGGCAAGGTTGCCAGATTTAAAGAATAATTGGGGACTGCAAAAACATCTCGATTTGGCAAAATTTGGTTTGATTGCTACCGTTACATTCCTCGTAAAAACATTCAGTGCAGGACATCGCATTTTTTTTTTTTCATTACGAAAAAGTATTAAAAGCTGTAACTTTAGCGGATGTCTATGAAATTTTCTGAAATATTTGGCTGCTGGTTGGTCAAACAATTGAGATTCACCGGTACATGGCCTCATTATGGAAGTCGAAATGACGATTTTTTCATACAAGCGTTCATACAAAAAAATGCTACGTTTCGATTTTTGCAATAAGGCCTGATAATGATAATGGGATCTTAGTACCCACACACCAAAAAATTATGATTTTAATGGTGATGTAAATATCCATGCATGCTAAAATTAAAGCATGTAAACCTGCTTTTCACGTAAACTAGCAACTTGCAAGAAATATTGTATACAAAGATGGATGGTTGTATGCAATATTTAGAATATTCCATTAAATTACTCATAAATGTACACGATCTGTGATGTGAATTTGTATGATATGTGACGCTTCATTTATGTACATCATAGCACAAACGAAGTGACAGACGACTAACTGGCGAAGAAATCCATTTAAATAATGTGGTTCACTGTAATAGAATTTTCTTGGAAGCTTGTGCCATCATCCACCAGATGAGTTAGTTTTTTTGTTTTGATTTGAACAAAGTTGATTTTGTGTACAATAATTCTTTGACAGTGTGCAAAGAGTGCGTATCATTTTGTCATTTTTTTATGCATTTCAGTTTAGAGTAGAGTGAAAGAAATAGAACCAAAACATTCTAGTACAATCCATTAGTAGTGTTGCCATGTGGTACAAGCCAGTAGTAGTGGTGTTGTCATGTGGTACACTGAAAAATTGCAATAGCAGGTTAGTCACCAAAGTTTTCGAGCCGCTCCGTCTGTCACTTCGTTTGTGATCATAGTGACAGAAATTTACACTACTTTTTCGAACTGTGCAGTGTCACCACCAAAAAACCGACATGAATGACCATATGACTACTGACATCTGGCTCCGAGTTCGCGGGAAATATTTAGCTAAGCCATGAAACCCGCATGCAAAAGTTATGAATTGGTTCGTGTCTGATCCATTCGGGACAAATTAGTTTTATATAGATCAAAAAATCCTATGGTTTTGACAGTTCAGATCACTGCACATTTAAATGGTCCGCTTACGATTTTCGGGCATTAGTAAGGATTAAGTGTCATGTCGGTTTGTCGGTGGTGTCACCATAACCATAACACATAATTATTCAAATTAAAAGTGTTCTATTTTCTAAGTGCATTATTATATTTGCCATTCGACTGTTTTAACCTCTTTGGACCATTATACCACAGACAAACAGACGTAACTCTTCATTGTGTATCTTCGTTCATGCATTTAACGGTTGATTTGAATATTATCAGTTACGCGAACTACTCGCCGCAGCGCTGGCATCGAATCACTTTGACGTTTCTATACATTCTATAGAACTTTTATGCAATATTATTTGCGAGCTAGCGAGCAAGCTTGTTTTCCGCGAGAAGCCCGAGAGATGTCGTTACTGAGGTCATATGTTTTGAGATACTATGTTTTCAAGAAAAACTGTTTCAAAGAGTTACGTCTGTTTGTCTGTGATTATACCATTTGTCCACACTACCTTGTGTGTTCCTTCAAATTATTTGATATTTCGTCCATTCGACTTTGTGTCCCTCTTTGGATCGATGTATATGAATTTTTGATCTTATTTGGGTCATACAACCTTTTGTCAATCTATGGGCTATTCGATCTTCTGTCCCTCTTTGAACCAATCGACCTATTGTCCCTTTTTTATCATTCGACCATTTCCCTAATAAAAAAATACCATAAACGAACGATAACACAAATAATAGAACTATTCCATAAATGGTTTGGATGATACATCGAACACGTCGTTAATAGTACGTTCAGACAACAAAGTTAAAACATGTTATAACGCTATCTTGATAGTGGTTTCTGTGTTGAAATTATTTGACAGCCGTTATAACATGTTATAACTGCTCAGTCTGGACAGCGCTTAAAACGCTGTCCAGACTGGAGAGTTATAACATGTTATAACGGTTGTCAAATAATTGCAACACAGAAACCACCATCAAGATAGCGCTATAACATGTTATAACTCTGTAGTCTGAACGTACTATAAGCAAAATAACCATAACAATTTTATTAGGGTTGTCCAACCGGTCAGCCCTTTCAAATTGTTTGATTATTTATGAAGAGCCCTTATATTTGAAATGACAGTTTCATATTCAACTAGTGATGTCCGATTTTTATTCGAATAATCGATTAACTAAACGAAAAGTAAAATATTTGTTATCGGTTCTATCATGCCAGATAAGCATCAACATCTCCAGAGGATCATCATTCATCGTTTCTAACATGATGTGCACTCTCATTAGTGGAAAAATGACAGCACAGTGAACTAATAATAATGGATTAGTTGCTAATCGAGTAATTAAATGGGACATCTCTGATTTTGGTGTGATTGTTTTGATATAAAAAGAGCGCTAAATTTCAACTCTACCTAGGGGGCAAAATAACCACAAAAACACCTTGCATACGGGGGTATTCATTGGATGAAATGGTCCGTGAAAAAGGAAAGTTTTTTCTTCCGTCTGTTTCATCTTAGTATTCTTCTTTGATTTGTCCCCCTCTCATTCGACATTTTGACCCCCTTCTCACCATTCGATCTTTTGTCATTGACGTTGTGCCTATCGACCATTTGTCCCGTAACGGTTCCTATTTGAGCCATTCGACCTTATGTCCCATTTTGACCATTTGTCCAATCAACCTTTTATCCATTCAACCTTTTGTCATCCAACGTTTTGTCTTTCGCGAGGTCTTTCGACCATTTGTCCCGCAACCGTTCCCCTTCGGACCATTTGCTTTTTTGTCCCTCTTTGGGACATTCAACTTTTGATCCCTCTTTGGGCCGTTTGACCTTTTGTCCATCCGACCTTATTGTGTGAACGTTTATTCATTATCAATTAAACACTAGCCTACTATATAAGTCACTGTCGACTTCTATTCAGCAAACACATTGCGCTTCGGTTTCGTTCATGCTTGACTCGTTGAAGTAGTTTTGTAAAGCCATCTGTAAGATCCTCATCAGTCTTGACGTAATTCAGGTACCGCAATGAACTGTGACGAACGGCAGGCGAGTAGGTTTCATCGTAGTCCACCCCCTTTCGCTGCGAGTATCCCTTGATCATCAAGCGGGCCTTGTGCCGATCGACGTTTCCATTGGCATCGTGCTTCGTATTCAATACCCGCATGCATTTGCTAGCCACTCTGCCTTCCGGTATCTCCAACAAGTCTAAATCATGGTCTACAAAACCCTTATAAAACCATAATATATTAGGTATTGGGAGGTATTGTTGTTGATCAGCGCGTCGTATTCCTCTCTTATAACCATTTTCCAGCGTTTGGAGTTCTCTTGCGACAATGCCTCCTGGTGCGTCACCGGGTCATGGTCACTCATCCTGGCTCGAGTAGCGGATTCCGTAGTTCCGCTGAATTACGTAATTCCGCTGACCCTAGTTGTAAATGGACAAAATGTCAAAAGAAGTTTCGATCACATAAAGTTGGAGTGTTCAGTAGCTATTATCTGTCAAAGTACTGTTCATGTTATAAAGAAGGAGTCAACCTCGGATTGAGAAATAACTTTCAAGCACTTTCTGCTTCGAAAGACTACTCATGTTTTTAAGAAGGAGTTAGTTCTAAGAAAGAGAAATAACATTTGATAACGAATTTTTCAGATAGTTAGCTAAAAGTGATTTGAACAATTGAGCAGTTCAACCATAGAGGTAACTCTAAGACCAGAAGGTCCCGAAGAAACGAGCTCAACTTTTTGGCTCAGCTCTGGTACTATCTTCGGTCCCAAGCTAATCGATTCACCCCTCGAAACACAGGAAAATCCACTAACCCCTCATTTTATCTGTCAGACTTTCATAGCGAATCAAAACAAACATAGTGTAATATTGGAATTTATATTAGAATGGGGTACGTTAGTCGATTTGCTTGGGACCAATAGGCTAGTCAAGTAGTGAGCCAATTTAAAATCGTTAGTACCGTTGGTAATACGGCGCCTTAACTGACTAGGCTATCTGAGGCCTTCTGCCTGAAGATTACCTGAGTTTTGTCTAAAAACGTAAAATTTACACAGTGTGCACCGAAAAATTGAACTTTTTTTTTCGAATATTCATATGATTTTAGGTTTCGCATGATGTGTTTTAGGCCGCATAAAGTTTGACTCAAAACCAGCCAGTCCATTCCTCTCTCGTACTAGACCCTCTCTAGCATAAACTATTTCTCACAATTTTCATCGATTCGATAATTTACCGTTGCAAAATGTATCAATCAATAAATGTCTAAAATTATTAAAATTAAATGTCTAAAATTTGTAGATCTAGATACCTACCCATCTGGCAACCTGAATCGGCGCGTTTATTTTCCATAACAAACTGTCAAAGGTTCTCCCGTTCTCTCGCTCCGTAAAAGAGTAGACATTTTACGCACAGAGAGGATAAAAATAAAGATATTCAAACGCGAGCAGCGAGAGAATGACGGCGAGAGTAGAAAAATAATAGACAGGAAAATTGCATTCGCATCGTCAAGTCAAAAGTCTGTCGGTCGCTCGATCGGTCGGGTGTTCTGGTTAGTGAAACTTACGTAATTTTCGCGACAGGATTGGGATTTCTCTAGATTCCCTCTTCTGATTGAAATTCAAATTCAGTTTTCAAGATAAAATACCACTATCAGTGCAGTGTGAAAATCGGTGAATGATTAGGTGTGGTAACTAGTGCAGTGAACGAATGTGCGAAAAATCGATTCAAAAGTGACGAAATAAAACAGAGAAGAGCCACTTCCTGTCCACCAAACCGAATAAGGCTGGAATTGCAGTGCCCATTGGAGAGAAATCGATTTTGGTGCTGTAACGTGGTCACGTAATAAGGCGGAAAGGAAAGCCCAAGTGTCTGCATTTCGAAGCTAGTTTAATCAGAACGGAAAAATGCTCGCAGTCTGTAAAAGTGGCGGTCTGCTCGTTAGCAGTTTGCAAAGGTCAGTAATGCACAGTTCATTGAACCATTTTAGTTTGCTTCATTGTACATACATCTATTTTTGATCTGATTCATGCTCTCACACCCCCACCATTGGTATGACACCGAGGTATCAGGAAGAAATCTGATGCCAAGGATAAAAATATTTCACAGTGTTCAAATTTAGCATCTAATTGGATGGATCATACATTTTAGCTGGCTGCTACACTGAGTCAGAGATAAATGCACCTATCACGAGAGGAGAGGCTTTCCTTGTTCTCACCCTTCTCTGGGTTGCATAGACTCTCAGCTCTCTTACGCGCACCTGCAGAAAATCGGTGAGAGCGCTTGAGAGAGTGTTGTTTGCCAGATAAAGGTATGCACTTTTCGATCCAAAACAACAACAAACATCGGTGCCCTTTCACTGACACTGTCGTTGTTTAAGGGTTAGTGTTTATCTTCAGAAACCGCATGATTTATTTCCATACCATAATTCATTTCTAACCCATGCAGTTTTTGAACATGATTCCTATTAAACAGTTGCGAATTTGGGGGAGGTACTCGAGTGGTGCATAGGGCCAACACCAAAGCCTTGATCTGAGCCCGACGCCATCCCGACCAACCGTTCGTGAAACTTCTTCAAAGTTATTTATACAGAAATAAAGATGAATGTCGGCAATTCTTTACTTTAAATTTTCTATGATTTCGATGTATACATTTAAAAATCTTAATTGATCGATACTAACATTTAAGATTATGTCTTCATCAGTCATATGATAGTAATCTCTAAAGGTGCCATACTAAATTTCTTTTAATTTCGATATGTCACATGGACTTTAGTATTCTTTTTAAATATTCATCAATAAATATTTAAATACTGATATCATCGTCACTATGAACTTTGACAAAGAACAACAAAGATTGCCATCAATGCACATTTATAATCTCCTTGTTATCGATTTGCATCGCTGGTTAAAGAGAGTTCGAGACACACCAGGTGACAGATGGCAATGTTTATATTATGTATCGACATATTCGGCATTTCATCGAAAGAAGCAATCTGCCGGTAAATGAACGAGAAGACCGAGGAGAAGACCGATGGCCACGACGCAGCAAATGTTTACCACTGTAGTTCTTCAAGTTTACGTCTATATATTTAATAACCCGTGATAGCATGCGTGGTGGGATTCTCGGCATTTGGAAACCAATGAGGAAAATTGATACCTTTTTGACCTCTATTACACCTACATGGCTGACTGGTTGATGGTTATGACAAATAAATTTATATAAATATTGAATTCATGTATGAAAAGATTTACAGAAATTTCAATACACCACATACTAGAATGTGTTTGCCTGTCGTTGATAAGCTCATCAACAGCAGCCGTGGACCCGAGGATTAGCAATCAACAACGAAATCAGTACTACACCCCAGATGGCATGGGATCGAAACTAGAAATTATGCAGATAAAAAAAATCACTAATAAAATCAGCAGTTGAGTATCGATATTTTGATTTTACAACAGAAATCGATATTTTGATCTGGCAACACAATCGATATTTCAACATTGGTAACGATTGGTAGCAGTATTTTGAGAAAGATCTTTATAAACGATTCACGATTAGACTTTTAGTATCTTTACAATTATTCATGAAATGGTGACGATCGCTATCGATTTTTCTTATGAATGGCTTTGAAGATCGATGTATAGAAAATTAAAGAAAATTAACGAAATGGTTGGTCGGGATGAGCGTCTGGTTTCTACCACAGCTGTGATGTACTGCTGGATACGTTTTGGAATTGGCGTTGACGGCGACTCTGTAGCTCTTTACTCCTATGAGAAAATCCATAAGCAAACGTCAGACTGTGCGTGAAACATGGCGGCCTTTGTACTATCCTTTCACTCCATCAAAAATTCCCATAAGAAACTGTCTATATTTGCTGGAAGAGCAAATTTTTCGACGGTGCCGTCAACGCCAATTTCTGATGATATCGACTTCTGATCAGTGCTGATAAAAATCATTTCTTCTACACTCAACTTAGCTTAAAATAAAAACAACCTTAACAGATAGACTAACTACCTACCTGCATGAATTTGAACTTTGACATAATAGCCAGCGTTGCCAGATATACCGATTTATCGGTATTTATACCGATTTTCAAACTAGATACCGATATACAGATAAGGTTCCACAGAATACCGATTTTTAAGATTTTTTACCGATTTATACCGTTTTTTTTTTTAATAATCAAAATTATTTGCCCGCGATCGATTTTCAGAGAAAAATTTTGTGAGAGACTTGTATCTTTTTGAACACCTAATATTTTTTTAGCCTTCAAAATTCTAAACAATAATCTCTAAAGATGCCTTATGCTTGATACTCTTTCGACTAATGTTTGCATTCCTCACCGTTTTTGGCTACACGCAGAAAAATTTATCGTTGAAACAAACATATTTGAGGTAAATTTAAACGTATACTCAGTTTGTTCTGGCCACAAAAATAAACAAGGTTTATTTCAAACGTATTCCATGTTTGAAGTCATGTGATAATAATGTTTAAAATAAAAATAATGTTACGTTTATTTTAAAAAATTTCGTGTTGAAAATAAACGTGAATATTTTTGTTTGGTTTGACAACTATACGAACAAAAATAAATATGTTTATTTTAAACATCCTTCTTATGTTTGAAAGAAACATACTTAATTTTAAATTATATTAGCATTAAGGATAAAGCAAAAAAAATGGATTGCAAAGATATGAAAAAACGAACTGCAGACAGGGCATCTAAACTCCTGCTCTTTTTCGGGTGCGATTAAGGGTGGGCTGTGGATGTTGGGGTCTTGGTGCGAGATGCGGAGACCCGTCGTGGTGAGTGTCCGGAGGTTCCAGTTCAGTAAAACCAGTGAAACTTTGTGATATTAGCGTCGTTTTGTCGTTTCTAACGCTGATCTTCATACCGGCCTCTTTATACGTTCGGTGTTGAAGGAGGGGCCGCCCCGGTTGATCCGGAATAGATTCGAAATCCATTTAGGATTTTCGTTTTTCTTCCGACGTCAGTTGTGGAGGAGGATGATACAGGGATTGGCTTCAGAAACGACAGAGTGACGTCAATACTGTGGGGTTCTTCCGGTTTTATCGAGCTGGAACTTTGTTAAGACACTAGGTGTGCCGTTTTCAGTTGATTGGCAAAGCTGGGGCAATTTTTTTCCCAATATAAACAAGAAGGGAAAAAAGGCAGGGCACGCTAAAAATCGTTTACCCAAATTCTAAATTGTTGAAATAAACATGCTTTTGACTTTAATTCAAACGTATATATTTTTGTAGCAAACATGTTTTTAATTTATTTTGAATTATTCATATGTTTATATAATAAACATTTATATTTTTGATTTAAATGAACAAAATTCGGTTCCGTGTACCCATCAATCGAGAAATAGTCGATTGCTCTGCTCTTTCCAGTAATTCCTAGGGAATCGAGAAATATATTTTAAACATTAATTAACTTCCGGAAGTTTTTATTCATTTTAAAACTTCCTGAAGTTTCATCCACCTTTCCCTGGAATTTTCTTCCACCTTACCTTGGAAGCTTCTTCAGCCTTCGCTCAAACGATTCTTTTATCTTCTCCCGCCAGCTTTTTTTTTTAACTTTCCCGGAGCTTCAAGGATGCTTTCAGATTTTTATTGCGGATCCACACTCGCTGCAGGCACATTTAAGTCGTTCTGAAACTTCAGAAAAGTCCAGACTTTTGTGTAAGTTTCGATAAATTAAAGACAGTTTTATTAATTTCTCTTAAAATTCGAAAACCCAGAAATTTCAGAAAAGTCCAGTGAACTTAAGGAAACATCATAAATATTTTGAAAACTTCACAAGTCCAAAGAACTTCAGGGTAACTTATTGGTTTTCAGGAACTTTAGTGAAGCTCAGAGAGCATCAGGACAGATCAATTATTTCAATGAAATTGCTGAAATTATAAAGGAGTTCCGAGAAACTCAGACAATTTCCGAAAACTTCAGCAATGTCCATGTAAATTTAGGAAACGTAAAGGAAGTTACATGAACATTAGATCATTGTGAGAACATTTTATGGGAAGTTCTATGTTTTTTAATGGCAGTGTCGATACATTTAAAAAAATAAAAAAAAAATCGGGAAGATCAGAGAACTTCAATACTTATGTTATAATAAATTCAAGAAAATTGTGAGAGCACTTAAGAGATTTCGTAATCTTCAAAAAAATCCAGAGACCTTCTAAAATAATTAGAGATATTCCAGTAGTTTTATTACAATCAGGGAAGTTTGCTTCGAAGATGACCAGAGAACTCCAAAACAGCCCCTAGTTTCCGGAAAAATACAAGAACTTTTAAGGAATTTCGAGGAATTATGGAATATTCCTATATAAGTGTATTTCAGGAATGTTCTGAAAACTTCAGGGAAATTTCTGAGTCTTCAGGGATGTTTTTTGAATATCAGAAAATTTTTCTGGATCATTGGATCATAATTGAAAAATTTTCTGTATCCCCCAGGAATCTCTTTCTTCCGGAATAATGTCCTTGTTTCTTTCGACTGTTCCGTAAATGCTCTGGCTTCCGAATTTCTTCAGATGTTTGTTTCAATCTACCTTAGGAAGTTTCTGCCAGCGTCTCCAGGAAGTTTATTTCGTCTTCTCAAGGAAGTTCAATTAATTCTCCAAGAAATTTCTTTCCTCTTCTTCTGGAAGTTTGACCATAAGTTAAAGTTTTTTTTTTATTCGACTTCTTTTGGAAGGTTTTTCCAAGCTTCGTCTGGCTTTCCCCGAAAATGGCTACGTCTGGAAATTTACTTCCGGTTTCCGAAACTTTTCTGGCTTCCTTTGGATGTGACATTCGATTTTTTTTTCCGATAGTTTATTTAAATTTTCGCCACAACTTTCTCAATTCGTGTCAGCTTTTCTCGAACTTCATCCAGGAGAGCTTCTTTCGTATTTCTCTGGATATTTTTTCAGCTCCATTCAGAAGCTAATTCAAACATTCCCCGGTGCTTTC